GTTGAGAGTGGACATTTCCTTTTTTTAAAAAAATATTTTTATTGAACAAATTTAACAAATCAAATTATAAATCAATATAACCAATTTCATCCCCCCTTTCCCCCTCCCTCCCTCTCCCACCCTCCTAAGAGTTCCCTCAGCTCCCCTCTCTGATTTGTTTATACATATTATTCTTTGCATGTTGTAAAGTTGTACATATCATTGTGTTATCTATCGTATGTTCTACTAATTAATTTGTGGATGTTTATTCAAAACCAAGGAGTCCAGATCTAGAGTGGACACTTCCAAAAACAAAAGCTTACACTTAACTAATGCTTCCTCTGCTGGCTACAATGAAAACAGCAGCTATGCCCGGTACATTGTTTATTTTAAAGGATGGGCAGCTAACATAACAGAGTTAACAAGCATCTTCTGCTTACATAGAATGGATTTAAAGCAAAACATGGGTTGCTATATGTCTTCTTTTTCCCAGAAGAGGTCCTCCTTTTCAGGGGTTAAATTTCATTCCAGGTGGATTTTTTTGAATTTGCCAAAATGTCCAGGTTTTTGCAAGCAGAGCCAGAAAGTGTGCATGCGAGGATCACTCTTAACCTTTTCCTATCTCTATGGCGCTCCCACATGGTGCATGAGTGGGTCTCATTCTATCCCCCTTCCCTGCTTTAGGATCTCCCATATACTCTGTGTGCCTCAATGCCAGGATCTCTACCCCACCCTAGCGCATTATCCATTCACCGCAATTAAGCCGACTCTATTTTGCAATATTTGAAAGATCTAAGAAAAGAAAGAGAGCTTGCAAGTAAAGAGGATCCCCCCAAGTCCTTATTAAATGTTCTTCGTCTAAGGCCAATTGGTATTTGGATAGCTGGTGTGCAGATGAACCAAATCACCTTGTGTACCTCTAAACACAGTTCTTGAATGCAAGTTCAATGAAAGTTACACAGCTCTCATGTAAGGTCAGGGAAAGCCCCTCCCTCCCTTTTTTTGTGTGTGGGGGGGTGTATGTTCTGTTTTATACATCTTGAAATCTTAGCAGACTAATGAACGTGGCAAAGAAAGTGCTGGGAGTGGGGGTGGGGAAAAGAGTGGAGGAAATGGCTGAAGCACTTGACACCCTATTCCCCCCCCCCCCAAAAAAGCTTTGCTCCATTCCTTTGATCACTAGACTGCTTAGATCTTCATATTGTATTTCTTTTTGTAACTATACCACCTTTAGAAGACATCTGAAGGCAGCCACGTATGGGGAAGTTTTTTATGTTTCTTGTTTTATTATGTTTATTTACCATATTGGCCCGAATATCAGCCGCACCCAAATATAAGTCTCACCTTTAAAACTGGAGGGTGGGGAGAAAAAAAGAAAAAATACCCGAATATAAGTGAAATATACTCAGAGAGTGGATTTCATGCTCTTTATTCAGCTCACAGTGGTGAGGAGGGAATGAAAGTCCCCTCAAAGTATCTGCTTTATATACATTATTTACACAATGAGCTGCCCGTGATTGGCTAATTCCGGAATTCTCCTGTAGGCCAATCAGGTTGTGGATTCACTTCTATCTGGAGCTGGATTGGGTGGCTGCTGCCTACCAATCATACTGCTGCATTGTTCTAGGACCAATCAGACTGCTGCATTCTGAATCCTATTGTTCTAGGACCAATCAGACTGCTGCATTCTGAATCCTATTGTTCTAGGACCAATCAGACTGCTGCAGTTTGGATCCTATTGTTCTAGGACCAATCAGACTGCTGCAGTTTGGATCCTATTCAACTCAGTACATAACAATAAACCACTCCCTTCCTCGCTACTCCTGGCTGCATGGGGGGGGGGAGCCACGCTGCGTTGCCGGCAGCCTTTCGCCTTCCTCGCTCTCCCCCTTCCTGGTCTTGGGGGAGAGGGCGGGGGACTACGCACAGGGCAGGCTCCTGTCGCTGTTTGCCCCGCACTCCTGGCTGCATACTGTAAGGTCACAAATATAAGTCACACTTTAACTTTTCACAGTTGGAATTTTGGAGTGAAGTGAGGCTTACATTCAGGCCAGTATGGTATATGTTGGACGCCACCCAGAGTGGCTGGGGCAACCCAGTCAGATGGGGGTGTACAATTATTATTATTATTAAGGATGTCCCTATTTTCATCAGATAAAAGGGGGGTATGATGTGTGTGTCCACAGTGCAGGTGCACAGTGGAAGGGGGCGCTCCATGTCCTCTTTTTTGCTCTTCAAAATATGGCAATCCTAAGTCTGAAGAGGGATTTGCATCAGGAAATAGCTTACACAACCCTGAGCTTCCCTTTCAGCTAAAGGTAAAGGTAAAGGGACCCCTGACCATTAGGTCCATTCTTGACCGACTCTGGGGTTGCGGCGCTCATCTCGCTTTATTGGCCGAAGGAGCCGGCTTACAGCTTCCGGGTCATGTGGCCAGCATGACTAAGCCGCTTCTGGCGAACCAGAGTAGCGCACGGAAACGCCGTTTACTTTCCCGCCATAGCAGTACCTATTTATCTACTTGCACTTTGATGTGCTTTCGAACTGCTAGGTTGGCAGGAGCAGGGACTGAGTAACGGGAGCTCACCCCGTAGCGGGGATTCGAACCGCTGACCTTCTGATCGGCAAGTCCTAGGCTCTGTGGTTTAACCCACAGTGCCACCCACTTCCCAATCCCTTTCAGCCAGCAGCACTAAAAAGTGTGTGTGCCTACTGTACAATTTGACCTAGTGGAATAAATGGGAGCCTTTCTTTTGGCTTCAATGATAGGTAATTGCAAAATTCTAGCATGGGTCCATCAATACAAATTTGTGTACAACTTGCATATTCTAATTTAGAATTTTAAAAGATTTACAAAACCAAAAGACAAGGCAACTAATTCTGTATCCAGATTGACCAAAATTCAATTAATTTACACCTGACTCCAGATCACCCCAAAAATATTCCTTTATCCCCCAGTTACTTTCCCAACATGTCCTGCTCAAAATTAGTTCCATTTCCCTTCCATTATCTCCATTCATTGCCCTCAAATCAACTCTAGATAAGATCATGTTAAATTGATTTGTTCTCACAAATTAATACCTTACCCAATAGCCCAGATCACCACGACTCGAATCAATTTCCTGAGTTTATTTACAGTATAATCTTATACATATATGCTACTCAGAAGTAAGTCCCATTGTGCTTAATGAGTATTACTTCCAGGCGAAGAGGCATAGGATTCCAGGTTTTTGGTGACTTGAAGTATAGGAAGCTGCAGTCATCCCACATGCGGAAGTAAGGCCCATTAAATTCAGGTATGAGTACGGGACATGACATGTATAGGACTGAACTGCTAATAATAATATAAAAAAATGTTTCCCCAAACAGCATTATTCAGCTGAGACTTTTTTAAAGCAATCCATATTAAATTGTTTCTCTATAAAAATATATGAATATTTTAGCAGTTGCTTTTAAAGTCTGTGGGCTGAATGAAGCCCTCAGGCTTTTACAGTTTCGTAAACACTTTCTACATTTAGGAAATTAAACTGAAATCTATGTCAGTTTGATAATGGCATCACTTAAAAGCATAACAGTTAATTAACTAATTAACAACTTAATTAATTTTGCATTTAACTCACTTCACTTAAATCCCTTGATGAAATTTAATGACGTTGCAGTGTGATTTCTGACTAACTACACAAATTGCGTGATGGGTCATTCCCTTATTTAGAAGATATTTCATGAAATTAAATGACAGAGTTCATTCCTAATGAGTTAACGGCTCAGTTGAGTCTTACACAGGAGCAGTACCCACAGCAAAGGGCATGAAGAGCTTTGTTTATCCTTCCTCCTCATAGGTGCATGCATAAAAACTGCCAGACGAGGAGTGGGAAGGCTGTGGGTACTCACTCATTTAGGGAGCACGAGCTCCTTGGCTGGAATATGCATGCAGGTCTCCCATTCCTCACAATGGTCAAACATGGTACCTGCACCTATGCTAACAGGAACTGAAAGGGGTGGAAAGGAGACAAGCAGGAAACATGACTCTGCTATGCCATGCTAATGCTGAGCCTATGTAGTAGGACATGACTGAGCCCTTCAAAATGGGTTCTTTTATTGTTATATGACAATTTGGGGGTGGGTGTCTGTAGGTTGGTTGATTACAGATTTTTTTTTAATCTGCCAATCTAGATTTACTGAAAATGATATGGTAAGATGTGTTGTCCTTGAAATTATTAATTCCACAAGGGGGGACCCACGACAAAATCTGCATCCCCAGCCCCTAACTGAAGTGTTCCTTTTGAGGGGTGGGGGTGGAAACAGGACAGTGAAGGGGGGCCATTAGCTCTGTGCCCTGGGCCGAAGGACCTCTTGGGAACCTCTGAAAGGCTACTGTGGAAAATGGGCCTTTGCTGGACTCTAGAGAGACCTTTTGGTCTTTGCAAATTCTGTTTGTATTATGTATCACACACATATACCCATTATAATGATCCCAAGCCTCTATTTTTAAAAGGCTGGTATTAACATTGTCTATTTTCAACTCCTCTGGCATGGAGGTAACTTTTAGAGATGAATTATTTGAAATTTGAGTTATTTTAGAACTCACAGGTAGATGCTGTCCAAACACAGTGATTTGTTCATTTTGCTTTTGTCAGGGAGTTCTACAACGGGGGGGGCGGGGAGAGGAACTTCAGGCTTGGCTGGGGTTTGAATGTGGCCCTCCAGACCTCTCTATCTGCCTACAGAATGCTCCCCAGGCTACACCAGCATTGTTCCAACAAAGGCTAAAGTTTACTTCCGCTCTTAAATCCCAGTGCACACCTGACAACTACCTAAGAGTGCTTTAAAACAACCTGTTTTATTGAGCACTCATCCTGATTTTATTGCAAGGAGATTAAATAGTGCTAGCTATTAATTGAGCATCCATTCTGGTTTGTTTGTTGAGGAGGTTAGACAATATTGCATCATAGTGAGTATTATTCCACATTTTCTACTTCATTTCTAAGTCACATTCCTCAATGCAAAAATGCTTATTTTTC